GAATGGTTTCTTTTCCACATGATACTTAAGTTTGCACACGATTTCTTAACTCCCATTAAACCTAATGCCTGCCGTGCTTATCTTAGATGCTCATCCGTTTTTTCATTTTTATACCTTAGGTTTACGATATCAGTGGGTATTTTCTATCGTAAATAAACTAAAATTGTTATGAGCTCTAAAAACGGGGAAACAGAGGGGACTTGTTAGCGCTAACAGTAAATCAATTAGCTCGTATGCGCGAGAGTCATGTTTTACGAGCGCTTGAGTAACTGTGCTCCTGTGTGACATAAATAGTCATTTAAAAGTTTGACAGCCGCGTGTACACAGCACTGATTACGGTCTTCAATTCACAAGTTGCTCGTCTTGAACGGGTACGGTGCATTCATGTACGTTTTCTCTTTCCGGATGAAATCTTGAGAAACTCTCTTAACGGTCGTGAGTGAATCTTGACTAGCTACGTAACAGGGGCAACATCAGCAAAGAGATACATGTATTAAGCCGGCTTAGAATTCCTTGTTTAAACTGTCAAAATAATCAGTCAGAAAACTCGTTATGACCAGAAAGGAGAAAAATGTACAGGTTGATTGGTACAATTACGTTATAAAATAATAAAATTACGTCACACTTCTATAACTTTTAGTACAAAAACAAAATACCTTATCCTCACCAATAGGCCAATCATATAATTATACACAATAATGACATTATACCTTACACATATACCTTATTTTCACTAGTGGAAAAGACCCGGATGTCACTTTACGGCGAATAAAGTGGTGCAGTATTGTAAACATTATTATATCGCATGACTACATTTACAAGTAAAACATAAGTTCTTGCAAAAAAATAATTGCAAGAGTTATGTAGCCACAGTTCTTTTACTAGTGGCACGATTCTTAATATTCATTGTACGTATTTTAACCGATATATAATTTGAAATTAACTACGGGTTATCTCTAGATTTAAAATTGTGTAATTAACAGGTTTTATGCACCTGCCCTTCAGTTTAATCAGTAGTTAAGACCAATTTCAATATCCAACTTTTTGGCCCCTAGCATCACTGATGAGCCCAAAAAGATCGACGAAACAGCTATCTTATATACATATATATATTTATATGAACTATAATATTGTCAGTACTGATCAATAGCTGCTGTTATGTCTATAAGGAGACGGATTTACATAAGTACTATGTACTTGTTTCTGGATCCTTTTCTGTATTTATAATCATGTACTATTGTAATTTAACATTAATAAAATAAAGTTTAAACTAAACAGCTGTCTTATAGAGTGTAATGCATGTTTGGCATACTGTATTTAATATCAAAATTTTAAAAGTGTCATCACCTGCGTATGTGTTAGGTTTGTCTATCAACCTCATATCTTCCAATATACGTACATTGTATGTACATAAAATTCCACAAACATGTACTTCAACGTGCGGAATTTAATATCACAATTTCACAACAAATGAGAGAAGCATTAAAAATAAGGTCAAACTTAGACGGGCCCCGGTTTCTAGAATTTTATATTATTAAGAAAACAAATTAACTCTAATAGTTTTGATCACTTGGATGTCTGATTCTAGAGTTTGAAACTAGGAGGAGATAAGCTAGTAGTAAAATGCAGTAGAGAAATAAAAACTGATGCCCAGTCTAGGTCAAACTATACAAACTTGTTACTACTATAAATTAAGAACACCTGTTTCCATTGCACTTTTGCTTTTCATATACACAGTCAACGGCCCTTAATTTCATGTTGGATAACCATGTAGCACTTCCACGTACCAGATAGCTCTGTCGGTTAGAGCGACAGTCCAACAATCTGAAGTCTATGGTTCGAATCCCGGCGTAGCCCCGCTTAACCTGTTACGTTCAGATAACTGTTGTTGATCACTATTGCTTATTCAGTCTTTATATTATTTTTCATAAAAGTCCCACAATGTATGATTTTCTTTAAAGAAATGATTTATCAAACTTTCAGTCATGCTAGAAAAAATATGTCCTATTCGTAGTTAGAGTTATGGCAGTGGTACAGGGATCGCTATAAGTAAGAAATCAATCCTCATTATCTCATATTTGTGAGTTAGCAAACTCATACATGTACACACTTCACCTTTCAAATGTAACATCAGTATTTTACTAAGTATAAAGCGTGATTCGTAAATGGTGGAGATAGCGGTCTAATTTCTTCAACGTATGCTGTAGACAGAAATCCGGAATTTGCACGGAGCTCAATATTCTTTGCCTCATACGATCACACAGCGTAAATCATGTAAAATATTTTTTTAAAACGGAATGCAGAATGTGATCCTTCTGCAGTCTCATAGCACCGCATTCCTCGTAAACCACTATCTGCGCAGTTTAGTTTTGACGTGAGCGTTTCGGTTGATTACCCCGATCCGTAAGATGTAACCATCCGATATTTTAAAACTCAAAACGGAAACAGATGGCGAGCATTGTCGATGAAAGCAGACGTGCAGACATGTATCTCCGTACCCTTTATTTCGGGTTTTGTATGTAAACATGGGCAATGAGCTATCACACACCTGGCGAAATAAGCTGTATCAGACACAAGTGGTGTGGAAACATACACAGAATTGCAAATAAAACAAAAAAAAATATCGTAAATTTTTATGCTCGTATCGTTACAGCAGAAGATTGGCCCGCAATGATATCCAGAATCCAGGAATAATGACAGAAAACATTCACTTTTTTAATCAGGGGATCGCATAAGTACATTCACACGTGCACGTGCGGATATTGTCTCGTGCTTTATACATTTCTATTGAATGATTGGACGGGAGAGGAAGAAAATACCTGCATTCTTTCTCGAAAACGTTCTTGCAGATTACTTGAGTGGGTTTCGGTACGAAATAAATTACCGGCAAAACGAATGTTGTAATTTTCGAGAGCATTTGGCAACAGCAATATCAATGTGCAGGGCGTGGGGTCTGTGTAGGCGAGGCTGTACAGACATCAATATAGATCTTAAAACTGCAGTGTTAGCCACCGTAATAAACATGTATATCGTGCTTGTTATCCTCGTACAATTGCAACTACCTATTTTCAAGTGTGACTATTTTGCAATTATCATAAGGCAATACAGGAAATCAAAACAGATCGTAAAACCTTGATATAATGCCCCTCGTTAAATTTGTCACCTTCCTTATCGCCAACATATGCATGTATAATGGTCCATTTCCCTCTTCTTTTTTTAAAGGAATTCCTTTCTATGTTTCCCTAATTTTATCGCCAGTCTCCTTTATACTGTCAAAAGTTAATGTTAACAGTATAGCGAGGTTTTATTGTATATGATTATATACATTTTTAAATGATTCAGAATTCAGTTACTGTTTAAAACGTCAACATTTTAGCGGTGGTCACAATTTAGAATTTACCGCACTTTTGTATTACACTGAATTATGCCTATTGAAGTTCGTGCATATTGTCCGCTGTTGCATTTTTCTTTGGGGTTCGGCTCTTCATCAAAGCACACGAATACGTTAATGCGCTAAAATGTGATGCGTGTGCATTGGATATGTCAATGTAAATGAGCTTTTAGAAATACGGACCCATAACAAGTAAAAAGTGTATACGCTGACATACACACCAGCATTAACTTCGCCTAGTACAACAGTTATTCTCCTGAAGGATAAATCGAATGCAGAACATGAAAGTTGGTCATATGTAATCAACATTTTGATTTGTATAGGCAGAGTAGTCGGGTATCGCAGTGGTATTTGCACTCGCCTTTCATCTATTCCATCTTTGCGTATTGCAGAGTTATCTTCTCTTGTGAGCATGTATTGATTGTTACGTCGTTGGTTTGTGTGAGAAAATTACGACGTTTTCTAAAAATATTGATGAGTAACAATAAATACCTGCTCACAAGAGCAGCTAACTCTGCAATACGAAAAGACGGAATACGATCAGGGCTCAATTTCCCAATCGGACGTGAAAAGGTATTGGGTCAACTCCCTGACCATTGGTACTCCGGTGTCCACGAACAATAATATAAGACCCGCTGCGTAGCACCTTTCCGGCCAACTAGAGGGATTCATATACTTTTTAAAAATCTAGATTCATAATTGTTATAAATTTTATCAAGAATTATATAATAGTATACATATTATATATTTTTTTTAAACTCATATTTGTATACTAACTTTTTATTTCCAACCAGCCCAGTTGAATTTATTTGCAGCACACAAATGTCGGTTTGTTTGAAAACAAAACCAAAAGCTGTTTGACAGCATAAACGTCCTGAGTTTAATTAGAAATAAGAATAATTCGTTTCAAAATTTATAAACATGTTAGTTAATGCAAGGTTATCAATTATGTTTTATATTTATAGCTTTATACACAATCCAGACGTCTACATTTCCTGCCAAACATATATTTTTTTATCAAAAATCGGTCAGGTATTTAGGGAGTCTGTGATTCGTATTATAACCCGAAGTGGGATGCCGAGCCGCACATCCTTTTCGCAATTATTCAATTATGATACATAATTTATTTCATGAGGCTATTTACAACAGGTATCTTTAGTTTAAAGTCTGATTGGCTTAACTTTAGTTTATTTGTTTTTTTCATTTAGAAAATAAAATCAACAATTATAAAATTTATCAACTAAAATAACATGCAAAGTGATTTTAAGAAATCATCTGTGAACGAAATACAAGAATATTTCGTAAATCATTTTAAAAAAAGAATAAGAAAATATTTTTTCTTTTTTTATTTAAAAACACTTAAGTTAATCGGCAGTTGAAGACAAATCCTGCAGAGTTCCCGTTTGTGTTACGTAGTTTCTTGCAATTTTGCATCAACAGTCTTCCCGTGTGGTCTCTTGCCGTATATCAAAATACTTCATTATAAAAATAAAGCATACTCATTATAGCTGAGATTTTAATTAAGCAATAACAAAGTTTTGGCACAGAACAGGTAAACATAGAAACGTTGTAGACTTATCCTGCATGTCGAACAATTCCAAGACAAACTTTCTGTCTGGTCTGTCTCGTGGTTCCGGATTAAAACCGGTATATATACCTGCCGGAGCTTACAATTGCGTCTATTTGATCACGTTCGACGATATGGCTATGAATATTATGAAAACTGAAACCTCTTTACTATTTTAAACTTTGAAAATTCATCTGAAAACTAAAAAGCATCGGACTTGACTAGTGACGCGTTAGTTTCAGACACTCTGCGTATTAATATTAATTGACCTTCAATGTTGGACTTGAGAAAATTCATCTCTTTGGATATTAGTTGGAACAGTATTTTTGTTGGAATATTTCCTTAAAGTTTCATTCCATTTCATTTCAAGGAATTGATAAGAAAATTCTCAAAGTATTAAGTACAATCAACATGAGTGTAGTTCAACTCCTTGCGACAGCAGCATTGCTGCTTATTTGTGTCAAGGGCGATAACTCTAATGGAACTTGTGACAATGATGACGCCATGTTGCGAAATATATTGTCGATCAACCTAACTATTGCCGATCAGAAAACGGAAATATGTTCGCTGAAAACCCGCATTGAAAGGATTGAACGCCTGCATGGTTTGGCGCCCTCAACGGACGTGCAGCAGATAGATGCGACTTTAGATCAGTATCATCATATCATGAAAAAGCTTTTTCATAGACGAATAACGGACGTGGCTTTCAAAGAAATCCGAAAGTTGAACGAGTCATATCATAACACAACAGCCGGAGCACTATGTACCGAAGACTGGCAACATTTTCAGGGGCAATGCTATTTCTTCAGCAAAGACAAGCATTCCTGGGACGACGCAAACACGTCATGTGCTGCCATGGATAGTCGCTTGGCAATCGCGGACAACGAGCAGATAAACAGTTTTATACGAAACGATAAGAATCGGTTTGTGCGTTACTGGATTGGAGGAAAAGAAGAGGGCAAAATGTGGATGTGGGCAGGAACCGGAAATCCCCTAAGCTACACAGCCTGGTGTCCAGAACAGCCGGACGGAAGCGGCACGCTATGTGTATCGTTCTTAAAGCTGGTACCGCCGACATGCTACTGGACCGACCGGAAGTGCAAATACCGACAGGCATACATATGCCAACGCCCTATTGAAAATATCACCGGAAGAGGAAATGGATAATCTGATCATACCTTATATTGTTGTCAACAAATAACAATGCAATTGTATATATAATTGCTCATGTCTTGTGAAGGTATCTGTGTGTACTTTCAACCTAACATGGCTTATCAACGGCACGTGCGTTGCACTTCATACAGCAAAACTGTACGTACAGTAACATGTGTAACGGAAGATATATTGATGTTTTTAGAATTCATATGCTTTTTAAATTTCAATGGATGACTGTTGTAATATATGATAAAACAAATCATATGTTTTAAATAGCGCTTATACAATTCTGATTGTACACTGGATTGAAGCACGTCTTGCATTCACACGACATGTTTGTTATAACCTTTCTGATTGGGTGATTTTTACAAAGGAACTATTTAACGAACAGTTTGTACTACAGGGGAGAACGAGAAGCAAGAATAATATTCGTTCATCTTTAGTGTATATTATATAATACATTTATGATTTTAATATTTAGTCATTGAACTGCTTTAAGTTTGAATTTTCATGTTAGCGCTTCATGTTGAATTTGCATTTATCCAGTTTGCATTTATACTGCCTATGAATGCACATTGAAAGCAGTTCAGTAATTATATTCACTTTCTTTAATATTTTAATCACATTGAAAAGTATATCTATGTATCTTATTGTGTATTTTAAAGTGAGCATAACAACCGCTCCCATGTTAAATGAACGGAACAGCCATCTTCAAGAAATAGTCAAGTGTATCATATAAATACAAGGATCACGTCATCGTTTGGGCCATGACAATCATAGTTGATATGAATACCAACTGAATTCAGCAGGGTTATTTAGTGTCAATGTCATACGGAAGTAAGTATTTTGAAATAATTGCACTGTACTTTTACTGGTATTTCTGTATTAGATATGTGCTAATAGCATGCATTTTTTTCCGTTGCGTTAAATTTCAATTCTGGAACTGAAACGTCATTTGAAGACAGGTAATTATTTCAAATATGCACAATATTCAGATTCCAGACAAGAAGTTCTTTTCATAGTAAGGCATTCTACTGAAAAATTTCTAAACAAACCTGTCTCTTATTGTTTTGCATGCAACATACATTTGAGCAATTTTTCCACGATTTTTCTTTTTCCAACTCGAATTTGATATTGAACATGTACATAATTAGTTGTAAGCTTATATTTATTTCGTGAATAAATCTTAAAAGCAAGCCTAAGGTTGTGTATCAAAGATTTGTTTGTAATATGTATTTTGTGCAGATTATTTAAAAAAAAGGTAGCTCGCCATTCTAACATTGTAACTGGAAATTTGAAGAATTTTCCTGTTTTTATACACTAGAAATCAGACAGAATTCACGTATAGCTCAACTCACCATCACCGTTATAACACGCTATATTTGTAATACTGCGTTGTAACGCGAACAATACGGGCCATATTTATGAAACCGTTTTCATGCTCAAACTCATAATCAGATTCAGTGCTCAAGCCTTAATGCCGACGATGAATAAATGAGAAATAGTGTGTTGTCAACGATTAGAAATAGTTTTTGAGAGACTTAAAGCCGAATTACGTTTTCAATATTTAAACCTCGTTTTTTACGGTGTCATATCATTCGAGTGAGTTACAAAAAAGCTGAGTTGAGCACAAACTCCTGGCTTGAGCATGATAATTGTTTCATGAATAAGGGTCAAAACAGTGAGTAAAATACAGCAACGTGACGATATTGATGTGTGCGATCGTCGCTTGATGTACAAAGTTATACCGACCCATTTTGGAGCAAACCGTAAACCGGAAGTACATTTTGTACCACCGGAAGTTTGACATAAATGAGCGCGCCTACTTGTTAACTGTTTTCTAAAACCATAACCTGTAGCTATAACAGCTCTTTTATTCAATACAACCAACATTTTTCTCTCTTAAGAACGGTACTCAGGAAGACTTGAGGGCGAGTTGTTTTTTTAAAAGAGGAGCATATCACATTGGTTACGCTTTACGTAACAATAATAACTATAGGATTCCTCCTTTCAGATTATCTCTTACTAATTCTTCTTTTCTACCTTCTACTCTTCACTATTGGAATAACTTAGACAATTCGGTTCGATCTCTACCCTCTATTAATTCATTCAAATCCTGTTTAACATCAAATATTCAGTCAAGTCCACCTATTTACTTTAAAATCGGAAATCGTAAACTTAATATCTTGCATACTAAACTCCGACACCAGTGCAGTTCCCTTAATTATGACCTTTTTAGAGTTAACCTTGTTGAGAGTGCATCTTGTAATTGTGGTCATCCTTGTGAGAATGTCTTTCACTATTTTATGGAATGTCAACTTTTTACAAACGAAAGACGTATTTTGGTTCAAAATTTGATTAATTTGAATGTTGCGTTAAATTTAGAAATTCTTTTGTTTGGCAATTCACAATTTTCCGTGGACCTTAACTCAAACATTTTTAGATCTGTGCAAAACTTTATTAAATCCAGCAAGAGATTTTGAGTTCAAATTGTAATAACAATTGTATATATTTATTGTCATTATTGTAATGTCATGTCAAATGTATATTGGGAGAAGGCGTTGATAAGTTGTTATAACTTGTGCCTAATCCCTTGTCTAATTTTGGCAATAAATATGTTTAAACTTAAACTTACTAAAAAAAAAAAAAAATCACATTGGTGTTCCATCTAGCCGGTTGTTACTGACTCGGCTAGAAGAAAATTCACGTTTGCTAAATGGTTAGTACACTGGAATAGTAGCCCGATGTCCCGGATTCGAATCCTGGAGAAGGAATTTGAAAACTAAAAGTGACCTCGGATACCCATGAACTAAATGCTTTTTGACAACCATACAACCATGTACAGATATAATGATTTAACTAATACTTGCCATACTTAGTAAATACCAGGGTTGAGGACGAGGTTATAAATAGATAGAGACAGAAACGTGTAAATAAATGACACTTACCTAGTTATCAAAGACAGCACAGGAACAGGACATGAAAAGAAAGAGGAAAATAGACATAAGCTATATATCATCATAAAGTACACCTTAAACAATATATATGAGTGGTCGTATGAAATAAATGTAAAACGTTGAAGCGATCGGTTAATATTCATACATGTTCGACAAAACAAATGCAGACACGTATGATATATTTCATTCCAAAATATTTCTTTTAACTTAGCAACAATTACAAAACAAATATTATCATCTTTTATAAACCACTATTAAGCCAGAATGGTATATGTAGCGCGCTTGGAGTCTTCAAGTGAGAGGAAACCGGAATACCCGAAGAGAAGCTGAGTACCTTTTCCCCATGTTTTCTCCCCGTACTCTGGTTTCCTCTCTCATTAAAACTCCGCGCTTGCGTCTGCTTATTTGCTGGTATGCGATTCGAAGGGAATTTTCCCTTCCAATGTGGTCGGATGGCGCAGCGGTTAGCGTTCTCGCCTTTCTCTAAGCCGGCCGGGGTTCGACTTCCCGATGTAACGTGAAAAAGTAATTTTGTCACCTGGCCGACCACATTGAACTTACATAGCTCCTGCGCACTTCCATATGGGCTAACAGGAGTTGTTTATATAAGTTGATATACATTTAACTTGTTTCATAATCCTCGTAAAATAAATAGAGTTTAACATTTGATAATTCATATGTTTATTCTGTCGTCATACATGGTGTATAAGTGCGTATAGAATGGTTGGTGTTCTGTAGTAAATATAGTTATTTATAATTTACGATCCTACATTTGCACTAACACACCTATGTATGATTGCAAAGATGCAAGCAAAATGATAACGTCACAATTAACCTATCGTTGTCTTGGTAACGTGTATATTTATATATGGCCGACACCCACACAGCCCCGGATGTAGAAGCCTTTGATCCGGAAATAGGAATTGTCAAGGGGGTTTCTCTACGTCTGTGTCCTATACACTGTATGTGGTAGACATCAATCGGTTGACATGTTGGTCAGTGACGACATGAGGGGAGTTGAAGTGTCTGAGTACTGATGACCCCGAAAACAGAAGCCTGACGAGTGCGAAACACAAAAAAATAATAGTCGTTCCGGCAAATCCCCACTACCCAACCCCTTACAATGTCAAGTTTTACCTCGACGTGACACGGAAAGTCTGATACGGAGATTATTACAGCATGACAAGATAAGTGTCGTAAACTAGTGACTTTGTAAGCACGATGTCGCGAGAAAAAATTAGTCTACCTAATGGCGGAAACAATGTCTACTCTTTCCGTTTAAACGTTAATTGGAAACCAGTCGGGAAATTCCGTCAAAGTTTGAAATTTACATTACCATTTGATAGATTTTTCAATTACTCAAAAAACGTTATTTTGAGGCATTTCTACGAAAATGAAAATAGATTCGCGTGGACATACGCAAAGCACAGCACAACAGTCAATATTTTATAATAAAACCCTTTAATAGGCGAAGACAGTTGTATAAAAATACATATCTTCATGGGAATTTATCGATAAGTGACGGTCGTCCTAATAAATCCCGCAGGAATATACGGAGACAATCAATTACCACTAACAACCAGTCAATACACTTTCTCACTTATTAGGGAGATAAGTACGACGTTTATTTTGTAATCAGATTAGTCGGTGTTGTAGCCGTCTCGGATTTGTCCGGAATATCATATATGGGAAAAGGATTTACAAAACAAGCTCTTTATCATTGCCTCAGTACATCTTGGTCATCGGGATCTAGTCACATAATACCCTTGTCAGCTTCGTCATATATTTCTTTATTTCAAACATGCTCAAAAATATTAATGTTAAAAGGTTTATCCGTTCAACATCGGTTTGGTATTAACTATACTTTTTGAACACAAGAAATATGTTTATAAGAGAAAAGTGATAATGAATCAAACACAATCTATTTTTAGAATTTGCTTTTGTCCCGTAAAGTCAATCATGCATCAATAACTGTTTCTCTTGAGGTCATTCCAGTGTTGTGTACCGAGGAAGTGTAATACCAATGTCAACCATTGTCATTTGTAGTTACGTTGGACTCTTAGGAAAAGTTGACCATTTATATGGAAATATTGATAAGAATGATTTTTTTACTATTATGTTTTTATATATATGTACATATGATCTAGTAAACATTATTTGATATAAGTAATTGGCTTGCTACTTGTGCAGTTTTATCATCCTAAAGGGGAGTTGTTTTTGATTGACTGTTTTCTTTTGGATGGGTTCAGCATGATATTTATAAAAAATAGAATAGGGGTTAAGGTTTACAAGCCAACGAGAAACAATTATTACATGGTTGTAGCATATGTTTTTGGGGCATTTGAAGAAGTTCAATGAAATATGCAACAACAAAAAAGGCTAGTTGTATACATTTCGCTTCCAATGGCATCATCTTCAATAAGATTATTCAGTTGGAAATATGCAATATCGAAGCTTCACTTTATACCCAATCCAGGTGTTTCGTGGTGGGGAATACCGGAGTACCTGGAGAAAAACCTCCGACCTGCGGAATGTACCTGCGGAATGTACCTGGCGACAGCCTCACAAACGCCGTGAACGTTGAAGGTTAAAGCGATCGTGATCGTGTAATCACCTTTAAACTACTCGGCCACCGCGGCCCCGCCTCACGTATACAAAGGCAATCATTAATCTTCATCTTAAATGTCACTTCTCGAAGAGAGCAAAATGGTGACGTCACTATGAAGAAAATTATCATATGACGTCATGTTGTATACAACAGATACAGGCACGTGTGAGCCTGGTCCCGGGATCTCTAAAATTAAGCAAAAGAATATGGGTTTATGAAGTTTGGAATCCCCGGGCCTAGACGCCACCGTGAGCATTAGTGTTTTTAATTAGTAAGTAGAATCTTCTATGATTTGTTAGAAACCAACGATATTATGAATAGGAAGTAAAATAACGCAGCAAAATCTCGCATATTGCTCCATTCCATAGTCCCAATGGTTGAAGTTGTCTGTCTTACCCTTGACTTTATCTAAAAATACGTAAATACAAATGTTTACCTATTGGAAGTGTTTTTTTTAGGTGGTTGGGGAGGGGGGGGGGGGGGATTTTTTTANTTTTGCCAGTGTGAATGAAAATCGATTGCATCAACATGCTTAAAAGGATGTCCTGGTGAGCTTCGAGCAACTTGAACACAACTATTTGTCGTGAATGTTTAAGCAAATTCGTTGTTATCAAACTAGGCTTCATTGATATT